CTGTTATCACACAGCAAGGCAATGCTAAAGAGGAGCAGCGAGGCCTCACAGATCTACTACAAGGTTGCAGCTTAATTCCTCCCCAGCAGCAGACAGCACTGAGACAGAACAAAGTCTGATCCTGGCCACTTACATGTACCTCTGTGTTTACATCAGTGACCTCCAAACTGTGTCCCTTTGCTTGCTTTTATACCTTGTGGTGTTTATCATCCCACTGTCACCAAGGATGAGGCATCGTTCCTTCTCTGGACACCAAGTATGGGTCATCCCTCTGACAACAAGGATGGAGCAATATTCCTCCTATTGACACCAGCAATGGGGCACTATTCCTGCCACTGACACCAACGGTGGGGCACTAGTCCTTTTTTCTGACACCAATGACGGGGCACAATTCCTCCAACCGACTCAAATTAACGGGACGGGGCACAATTCCTCCCACTGACACCAATGATGGGGCACAATTCCTCCCACTGACACCAATGATGGGGCACTATTCCTCCCACTGACACCAATGACGGGGCACAATTCCTCCCACTGACACCAATGATGGGGCACAATTCCTCCCACTGACACCAATGATGGGGCACTATTCCTCCCACTGACACAATGAGGGGCACAATTCCTCCAGCCGACTCAAATAACGGGGCACTATTCCTCCCACTGACACCAATGATAGGACACTATTCCTTCCTCTGACACCAACAATGGGGGACTATTCCTGCCACTGACACCAACAGTGGGGCACTAGTCCTCCCTCTGACACCAGCAATGGGGCACAATTTCCTCCCACTGACACCAATGATGGGACACTATTCCTGCCACTGACACCAGCAATGTGGGCACTATTGGTGGAGAAGGATCTGGGAGATCTGGTAGATCACAAGCTTAATAATGGCATTCAATGCCAAGCTGCGGTTTCTAAAGCGAGCAAAATCCTCTCTTGTATTAAAAGAGGTATAGACTCCAGAGAGAGAGAGATATCCTATTAACCCGGTACAAATCATTAGTAGGACCTCATCTGGAATATGCAGTTCAGTTTTGGGCACCAATTCACAGAAAGAACATTGGGGACTGGAGAAAGTACAGAGAAGGGCAACCAAACTGATAAGAGGCATGGAGGAGCTCAGCTATGAGGAAAGATTAGAGGAACTGAATTTATTCTCTCTTGAGAAGAGGAGATTAAGGGGGGATATGATGACCATGTATAATACATAAGGGGGGGATATGATCTCCCATGTATAATACATAAGGGGGATATGATCTCCATGTATAATACATAAGGGGTGATATGATCAACATGTATAATACATAAGGGGGGATATGATCTCCATGTATAATACATAAGGGGGATATGATCAACATGTATAATACATAAGGGGGGGATATGATCTCCATGTATAATACATAAGGGGGGGGGGATATGATCTCCATGATCTACATAATGGGGATATGATCTCCATGTATAATACATAAGGGGGGATATGATCTCCATGTATAATACATAAGGGGGGATATGATCAACATGTATAATACATAAGGGGGGGTATGATCACCATGTATAATACATAAGGGGGGATATGATCAACATGTATAATACATAAGGGGGGATATGATCTCCATGTATAATACATAAGGGGGGATATGATCTCCATGTATAATACATAAGGGGGATATGATCTCCATGTATAATACATAAGGGGGGGTATGATCAACATGTATATAATACATAAGGGGGGATATGATCTCCATGTATAATACATATGGGGGGATATGATCTCCATATAATACATATGGGGGGATATGATCTCCATGTATAATACATAAGGGGGGATATGATCTCCATGTATAATACATAAGGGGGGGGTAATATGATCCATGTATAATACATAAGGGGGGATATGATCTCCATGTGATCTCCATGTAAATACATAAGGGGGGATATGATCTCCATGAGGGGATATGATCTCCATGTATAATACCATATGTCTCCATATAATACATAAGGGGGATATGATCAACATGTATAATACCATAAGGGGGATATGATCTCCATGTATAATATAGTGGGGAATGATCTCCATGTATAATACTAAGAGGGGATATGTCTCCATGTATAAATACATCAGTGGTTCATATAGTCTCGGTGTAGAGTTATTCACCCTGAGGTCATCACAGAGGACAAGGGGGCACTCTTTACGTCTGGAGGAAAAGAAATGTAATCTCCAAACACGGAAAGGTTTCTTCACAGTGAGAGCTGTGAAAATGTGGAATAGACTCCCTCAAGAGTTGGTTCTGGCCAGCTCAGTGGATTGCTTTACAAAAGTCCTGGATTCTTTCCTAGATACACAGAATATAACTGGATACAAACATTTATAAGTTGATCCAGGGAATATCCAATTGCCTCTCGGGGGATCAGGAAGGCTGTATTTTGTGTTAGGGTGGGCAGTCAGGCACCCCTTCGGGCACCCAATAGCCAAACAGAGGGCTAAAGAAAGTAATTATAAGCAATATTTTATATTTAATTGACAAATATTTTTTTCATTTTGATTTATTTCCGACTTATTAAAGAACATATATACAAAACCACAACATAAGCCCAACGCCATACAAAATGTTTATTCTGTTTAGTAGCAGAGAAGGGTTGGAGCCCTGGCAATGGGAAAATTTCACAGTCTCCTTGTTCCAACAAGGCTGATATCTATATATAGTAAAGAGAGGGGGAAGAAAAAATCCCTACAAAAAAGACAGAATGGACTGTCTCGGTACCTATAAACAGCACAGTAAATCTTAAAAAAAATTGTATTATTATAGTTACAAAAAAAATACCCACACAGGGGTCTCAGGAATCCATCACAGAACTTTTCACACTGTTCCTGCTTTCTGGATTTTTGGTGCAGGTTTGGTGTGTTGAAAACAAAAATCACCAAAAACTCACCTCCCTGTCGAAATGAGTGGAAAATGTGGCAAAAAACACAGTTTTTGGTGAGTCAGGTCCTGTAAAAAAAAAAAAAAACCCCACCACAAACACGATAAAAACGTATATGCATTATTGCTAGGGATCAGTATGAAAGTAGCCGTAGGGCTTGTTCACACTTGACTACATTTCTAACTCTTCAAAAATGCCCCTATAGAGTTAGACAGGTGTTAATGAGCTTTAGTATGGGCATTCTACAAGCGTTAAAAACGCTCCCCAAACACCCTATGCATGGTTTTGAGGCATTTTATAGGCGTTTTACAAGCGTTAAAACCGCACTACAAATGCCTATAATAAACTCTAATGGTATTAATGCCCCGCAAACACCTGCCAGGCATTTGAGGATCTTCACCACAGACTTGAATGGGAGGCGTTGAAAGGCTTCAACTCCTCCTGACTCGACATGAGGCTTCAATTTTGAAGCGACACAACGATAACGCTTCATGTTTTGCTAATGTGGACAGCACTGTGTACTGCCCATAGTATCATTTCCATAAGCGTTTGAGGAGAGTTAAAAATGCCCCTCTAGCACTGGCTTTCAAAGCCAGTGTGAACTAAGCCTTAGTTCAATTTCAACAAGAACTTCCAAATTTCCCTCTCTGCAGTTTCATATGCTCTGAATAGTACATAGCAGTGCTCTTCCTGTTTTAAATGGTGCATGTTTTCTCTCACTACACTATCCAGCCCATCCTGCAAAACGGCATAATAGAGGGGTCAGCAATTTTAACCGCTTCCCTACTGCCCTATAGCGGAACTACTGCTACAGGGCGGAAGAGCTGCGCGAAATCACGTATATCTACATTATTATTATAAAGAATTTATATAGCGCCAACGGTTTTGCTTAGCGCTTTACATATACATGATTTTACATTTACGGGTAGGGGGCACGCGCACTCCGCCCTGCCTGCGCCGCTGTTGGGGGCTACAGATGTTGACCACCAGGTCCCAGTCAGAGATTCCACGCCGGCACCCTACGATTGCCGAGTATCACTGATAGTGGAGAGACCTGTGTGTAAACAACACAGGTCTCTATCCTTCCAGCAGTAACAGGATGTTGTGTAATTCTCTGCACATCAAGAAATACACAGCAATATGTTTCCCTAGTAAAACACACACAGTAAAACAGAACCCTTTGATCGCCCCAGATGTTAACCCCTTCCTGCCCGGTGCCATTAGTACAGTGTCAGTGCTTTTTATTAGCAGTGATCACTGTATTAGTGTCATTGGGATGTCAGTGGCAGTTAGTCAGTCCGCCCCCCCCCACTGTCAGAATGCCTGCTGCAGTCCTGCTATAAGTATATATACACCGCCATTTGTAGACGCTATAACTTTCAATTACTTTACACGTATTGGGATTTTTTTTGACAAAGACATGTAGCAGAATACATTTTGGCCTAAATTTATGATGAAATATGATTTTTAAAATTTTTTTACTGGATATGTTTTATAGCAAAAAGTAAAAAATATTGTTTTCTTTTTCAAAATTGTTTATAGCACAAAAAAAAAAAAAAAAACCGTAGAGGCAATCAAATACCACATTTGTGTGGGGAAAAAAAAGAACATAAATTTAATTTGGGTGCAGCGTTGCATGACCACGAAATTGTCAGTTAAAGCAACGCAGCACCGTATCACAAAAAATGGCCTGCTCAGGAAGAGGGGTAAATCCTCTGGAGGGCAAGTGGTTAAAATAGGAGCAGCACTTGTATGTACCATGAACGCCTCCCACCCGCCATATAAGGAACTGAAGGGCACAAGGTGGTTGTCTTGTTCTGGGAGGACGTTATATGACGTCCTCCCACTCTAACCGATCAGTGGAAAGAGCCGATAATTTCGGCTCTGTCGTGATCAGCTGTGTCCAATCACAGCTGATCGCATGTAAATAAGGAAATGCCGGTTATCAGCATTCCTTTCCTTACGAGCTGTCACACTGACAGCTCGTGAGGAGAGGAGAGCCGGTAATCTGCATTCCTCAGAGGGGACATCTACACTGATCATCAGGGCACTGATTATCAGTGCCCTGATGATCAGTGTAGCCCTATCAGTGCCACCTCTCAGTGTCCATCAATGCCACCTGTCATTGCCCATCAATGCCACATATTAGTGCCCATCTGAGCTGCCTTCAGTGCCAACTATCAGTGCCACCTTTTAGTGCCAGTCAGTGCCGCCTATGAGTGCTGCCAATCAGTGCCAGTCAATGCAACCTATCAGTGCCCGTCAGTGCTGCCTATCAGTGCCATATATGAGTACTGCCTTTCAGTGCCCATCAGTGATGTCTGTGAATGCCCACCAGTGATGCATGTCAATGCCCATCACGGCCACCTACCAGTGCCTCCTCATCAGTGCCCATCAGTGCAGCCTATCAGTGCCCATCACTGAAGCCTCATTAGCGCACATCAGTGGAGAAAAATTACTCATTACAAAATTTTATAACAGAAACTAAGAAACAAACTTTTTTTTCAAAATTTTCAGTTGTTTTTGGTTTGTTTATCAAAAAATAAAAAACCTAGTGGTAATTGAATACCACCAAAAGAAAGCTCTGTCTCAAAAAAATATACAAATTTCATATGGGTACAGTGTTGCATGACCGCGCAATTGTCATTCAAAATGCGACAGCGCTGAATGCTGAAAATTGTCCTGGGCAGGAAGGGGGTGAAAGTGCACGGTAGGCAAGTGGTTTAAGGACATATGGAATTGAATAGAGGGATTTTAGGAAAATCTTGCTGAAAGTGAATTTACACTTTAGGTAGTACACCTTTATCTTGTCCCTGATAGACAGAATCTATATTCCAATAATCAGGGCCCATAAAGACCTCCGGAGTTAAAGTATTCCACTTAGGGAGAATATGCTGACATGCCAGGGAAGTAGATCTTCCAGCAATGGATACTTACTTGCAAAAAAGAAGGAACCTTCAAAGTGGGGATCATCAGATAAGAAGCTCAGGAAGGCAGTAATTCTAACAGACAATAGCATGGTCACAACTGACACATTCAATACTGGCCAGTGTAGGGACAAGGTCACCCAGTTTGTTATAGAGGGAGTTCTCAAATCTTTCTGGAGGTGAAGATGAGATTCAGCTGAAGTTAGAGTAAATGCCAATCAACAGACCACAGGATTCAGCCTTTTAAATGTCTGTTGCATACAACCAGACACAAGGAATAGGCAAGGGGATTCAATCAGTAAAGGAATTCCACAATGATTGGCGTATGAGGAATAGCTTCCAGGACTTCTTGGTTTGAATGATGAGGTAGGTGTCTTGAGCAAATTTCAGACACTCTGGGGTTGATTTGCTAAAGGCAAATATACTGTGCACTGCAAATGCAGTTGCTCGATAGATTAGTAAATGAGGTGAAGCCTCACGTTGCAAAGAATACCCAATCACATGCAGGGCCAGTACTTCCACTAGGCGAACTAAGCAGCTGCCTAGGGCGCACTGCCACCTAGGGGCGCAGCACAGGCCACCACATCATGAATGATCCTTCATCTAAGGGGAGGCGAAGGGCAGCACAGGGGAGGAAGAAAGGACAGAGGAAGGTGCTGGGTGTCTGGGGACAAGTGTAGCAGCTGAGCTGCTGCTCCTTCCAGTGTTCCTCTCAGACTCAGTCCCTTACTGCAAACAGGCTGGCAGCTGCTGATTACTGTGGAGTTCCAGTCCTTCTCTTCCCATTCATCAGCAGAGGCGGTGCTGCGTCTGCAGAGGAAGGTAATGTCTGACTCTGATGTCCTGTGTCTGTGTGACCCAGCCATCCATCACATGTGCAATGTGTCAATGAGTGATGACATCATCACGATCCCACAGCCTGCTCTTCTAGTGCCTGCTGATCTGTGTTGGGTGTGTTGTGTCAGATCTGTCCCTTTGCGGAATCGCTGAGTTCAGGTGTTCTCTTTGTGTGTGTGTGTATGAGCTGCCTTCTGTCACAGCATTTTATCTCCCCCCCATTGTCTGGGGAATTCCAGCCTGGGATCTGTCAAGAGTGATATGAATAATCAGAGGGATTTTTATAATTCCCCTATGTGGAGAGATCTATTCATCGCATGGTGGGGGATCCCAAGCAATGGCTCCTTTGAAGTACAGACCTAATAATTTTTTTAGGTAAAGGAATGGGAAAGGGAAAAAGGCCAGAGGATGTAGAGGTGGAAGGAGAAAACACCCCAAAGAGAAAATGGTAACATGTGAGGGTCTCTTTGGTTTAAGTGGTGTAGCTCTCACTGCTCAAGAAAAAGGATGTATTAAATAGAGGTTTCAAGTTTGCACCTGCTAGACCTCTCATCAAATTTAAGACCTTTATAGATGTTCAGAAATGTATAAGAAAACTGAGTGTTAAACAATATTTCCTCTCTAATCCTATCATTAGGAATGGAGGCGCTGAACGGAGGGATGAAGTGGTACACACTGGTTTCGGGAACGCATCTTTGTTTAACCCCTCCAGTCAAAATAACTCTAACCAACTGTTTTTAAAAACATGGTATTTAGATTGGGCTAACTTCAGGAATAGAGCTCATAAATCTTTGCAGGATGGTGTTAAATCTTTATGTGAACATAGGAATTTGGTCATTTGACCTGCAGATAAGAGGGGAGGAATAGTTCTGCTTAAGAAGGACTATTTGGAGGAGATGAATCATCTTCTGACAATAACAGGTATGAGGTATTAAAGAAGGACCCTACTCATACATATAACAAACTATTGCACAAAATCATAGGGTGGATATAAGAATGGCATCATTGACAGAAAAGAAAAACAGTATTTAATAACATTAGCTCCCAGGATTTCTATTATATACTACCTTCCCAAAGTCCATAAAAATCCTTGTAAGCCCCTCGGAAGACCTATTGTAAGTGGAACAGATTCTGTGACCTCCCGCATAGGCAAATACATTGACTATTTCTTACCGCCTTTTGACTGCTTTTTTGAAAGATACCAAATTATCAATGATTTAATGCAGGTTAACATTGAGGGTGCAGATCTTTTGGTCATAGCAGATGTCTTCTCTCACACTATTACATCTTACACTCTTATTCCTCATGAGAAGGGGTAAGAAGCTGCAGAGTATTTTGTGAATAGTACTGGTGGAATTTCTTCCAAACAAAAAAAGTTTATTTTGGACCTGTTAAAATTTGGTATGGAGCACAATTACTTTTATTCTGGTGGTAACTTCTTTCAACAATGCACTGGCATGGCCATGGTAGCTAAATTTGCTCCCAGCCTGGCCAATCTATTCATGGCAATGTGGGAGGTGGATGCTATTTATACCAATTAGAATAGTAATTTAATGTTTTGACATTGCTATATTGATGACGCTTTCTTTTTATGGCAGGGTAATGAAAGCTCCTTGCATTCTTTCATGTCCCAGTTGAATACTAACCTGCTGGGCATACTTTTTTCATGAGTGGAGTGATCAGGCTATCAATTTTTTGGATCTTACTATCATGAATAAAACCTATTGCTAACTAAAACATATTTCAAGGCCACAGATTGTAATGGTTTTATCCCAGGAAGAAGTTGTCACCATCCTGCATGGTTAAGGACTATGCCCAAGGGGCAGTTTCAGCGTATTCGTCAAAACTGCTCTAAGAAAGAATAATTCTTTGTACAGGCAGGGATTCCAAAAAGTAAGTTCTTAGAAAAGGGATATTCCCAGAGCAATCTTGATCACGATCTGGAGATAGTTTCAAAACTGAATAGGGATCCACTTTTGTCCAAAAAGAGAAGGGTCTAGCAAATAATAAACATGAATGGTCCTTCCTTACAGCTTTCCCATCTCAGTACGGTTGGATCAATAATATTCTGAGGAGACATTGGAATATTCTTAGGAAAGACAATATCCTGAGTCCAGTCTTTCCAGCGTGACCACAGATCATATTCATAAAAACACGTACCCTCCGAGACATTTTAGCACCTTAGGGGATAAGCCTGTTCAGAATAAAATGTTTGAGAACCTTAAGGGTTTTTACCCATGTAAAATGTGTAAGGTGTGCAAAAGTGCGCAGTCTGTTCAATCATCCTATTTTACATCTAATGTCACTCTAAAAGATTACAAGATTTGTGATTTTATCACATGTAGTACTAAGGGGGTTGTTTACCTTTTGAGTTGTACGTGTGGCCTCCAATACGTGGGTAGGACCACTAGATCTTTGAATGTTCGTATAGGGGAATATGTAGCCAATATTAAAAAGGGTTTTCCATCTCATATTCTGACTAAACATTTTGCTTTGTTTCACAATAGAGACCCCTCTTTGCTGCAGGTTATAGGTATAGAGAGATACGTCCCACACTGGAGGGGGAGTAATATGAAGAGGCAGATCTCACGTCGTGAAACACAATGATTTTTTTTACCTTAAAACTCATCGACCATGGGGCATCAATGTTGAATTGGAAATTATTTTAATAATGATTGAAATATTAGAAATACATGATGGAGAAGGAACCTTTTATAGGTTGTTTCAATTAGATATTTGGGATATATTTTCTATTTTTCCTTTCACTGTACTAATTATTTGTTGTATTTTTGTGAATTCATTTTCCAAAGTTAGTTTATGTCAGTATGTTATTCATTTGTTTTAAAAAAATTTATTTTTATTTAATATTGTATTTTGTTTATTGATATTTTTGGGGATTTATATATCCAAAAATGAATTTTTGTGTTTTTTTTTATTGTATTTATATGTAGCCACAAGATGCTGCTATTTTTGTTTATCTCAGGTTCAGCTGATCAGGTATTTGTTTACAAAATGTATTTTTTGAAATTTTAGCTTTTTTCTCTGCAGAATCCATCTCTCTCCTCTGATTGACATTCATTTATGGTACCTCTCGTGGCTGCATATATTGATAAGAGTTCTTCCGGGTCTTTTTCCCTTTAAATGGACGGCTTCTGACATTGCACAAGTGATCTCCAACCCTAGAGGATGCCATTTTTAGGGAAACACGTCAGAAGAGTTCTTGTGAGACATCATCACGCACCGGCGTGCGTACTGAGAGCGCAGGCGGGTGAATACATGGAGTTGCCTGCTGCTTATTTTACTCACCTGTTTGTAAGTGCAATACTTTAATAAAATAGTTGGTTTTAATATACTGCACCAAGAGGTTTCTCTTGTTCAATCCTTCCATGTCATTACAATGAGCGGCATTTGATACCATATTAAATTTGCGGTAAGCCCGCTGGATGCAGCCAGTTTGTTCTGGAAGTGGTTTGACTGCAAGAGTGCCAGGCTGGGGTCATGATGGGGGTACAGTCGCAAACAGGGCATTATCCTGTGTGAGTGCAAAACAGCAGTTGAACACAGCCCCGATCATATCCTCTCTGCTTTTGCACAGGTAAATGCTGCTGTGTGATCTCCACCTTAAACTGTCTCACTGCAACACACTGACTTTCTGCAAAACT